CAATTCTGAGCGATATGCCACCATTTGTTTGACAGTTGACTTCCAAAAAATCAGGAAAACCAACTGCTGAGGACGGATCACTCTTCACCACGACAATGCGAGCTCCCACACATCGGCTCAAACAATTGCATTTTTGAGCACTCAAAACAACGATTTGACAGGTCATCAGCCATATAGTCCTCGGGTGACTTCTTCTTATCCCGTACGTAAAAAATAAAGTGAGAGGTCAATGTTTTTCGACACCTGAAGAAGCCGTTGATGCGTTCAGAATCCATGTTTTAGAGTTACCTACATCAGAGTGGCAAAAGTGCTTCGAAAATTGGTTCTAGCCCATGCAAAAGTGTATAGATCTTAATGTGGAGAATTTTAAAAGGCAATAAAGCGATTTTCAATAAATAGTACTTGTTTCTGTTCTCAAATCTCAAAATATAGAAGGCAACCTACGTAGGGTCAGCGGAGTGATGACCACAGATGCTCTACCGCAATTAAGGTCCATTGATCAAACCCGGCACTAATGCCGCGTGGACCTACAGATTGTCCATCCTTCCGGGGTCGGGTGAGCGCGTATAGTCGTGAACGATATATGTGAGAATGACTTACACACCGGCGCCCTCGCGAGTCCTTATACAAGCTGAACACGTGCGTAAAAACCGTTACTATATAGAGTGGAAGTTATGAAAACTTTTCTGTGCTACGTGGCTAAGTCAAATAGAGGCATTATTTATGGGGGCCTCTCCATATTTTGCAATCTACCGTGTGAACTACTCTGTGTAATCGAACCAACCTCATGAATTCAAACAACCTCCCGCAACAAACTTTTCCCGACATTCTAGACTGCAGGCTCAGAAACAAGGCTCACTACAAAGTTTGTTAAACAACCCATTCAACATACGTCATGCCACTGTTCTGGCTCAATTTCTCTCGCTGGAGTTGAGACGGATATATCTGGCCAAATGTCGGGCTGTGGCAAGGTTTTGGTACCATTCGGCATCTTACATCCCACAATAACGGACTAAAATCAAATAAAGTTGACGAAAGGGAAAATAGTATGACTGCAGGTCTTTGAAGCAAATAATCGTTCTGAATAAATGAAGGGCTAAGTAGAATCTAACAGATTTCTCTATAAAAACTTTCGATTAAATGAATGTTTGTATCTGATTTTTAAGCCTCTAAAGTCAGCTCATGTATCAAAGTTTACCTGTATTGCCTCAATTCAGGAAGATGTAAGAAGTTACAAGGCTACCCTTTACACAGTCTACAGCTTATACGAAAGTTCTTCGTTTGGCATAGGCAAAACCAAGATCTAGTAAACAACTCGAAAACGCTACCACCTCAATTATGTACTGCACGATCTTTACGGTAGGACAGAGAGTAATTCGCAAGATCATGGACAACCCAAAATTATCTGAGCTATGAGCGAATCTATTCAAATTAATGAGCAAATCATGAAAAAAAAACCATGAGCCCACCAAAATCGTTCCCATTAAAAGTTCTACAAGCTGTTGTTGAACAAATGGAAGCGATCTGTTGAAAACAAGACGTACTATGTTTTTGTTTTCATAGAAAAAAATTGGCAAGTCGGAAGGGACAAATGAAAAACGTATGATAGTGGAATTTCTGATCGAGATTTAGCACCAAACATATCAACAAAAATAATTTTTAACCAATGATGAACACGTCCTCAATAAAGTGGTCCCCCATAAACTCACTTTGGAATTTTTCTTAGCTGCCCAAACAGACTTTCCTTGGTTCTGCTTCGGCGCTGTTGGTAGAGCGGGGAAATCTTCCACGTCTTGACGGCGATCTGAAGGCCTGCAAAAGTTCAGCATAAAAACCTACTCAGCTCTAAACATCTTACTCCACCGACACAGATTACAACCAAGCACGAATTTGCTCGTTTCTCATTCGTCCATCATCTATGCATCATCATCTGCATCACAATGTCATACTATGGATAACTACACATAAAGAATTAATGTCTGCACCAGCCTATACCGCTTCCGCGGAGCTATGTCAGGACGAACCTCCTTTCAATTGTTTACGTCCTTTCTGTCACTTTCCACAGGATTCATATATTTCCAGCGTCACTTTACTTAATCTCATTACTGAAACTTTGCTTCAAATAAGCTCTAAAGATGTAGAACGTACTGTACTGATGTGGGAGCCTTTCGAGCAACACCCGAAGACGAAGGCGCTCCAGAGGTAGGTGTAGTTATTGGCGAAGACCGAGTAGCATTAGCAACACCACTTGGCACTCCACCTGGATGATTAACCCGATTCAACCGAGGGAAGTTATCCGGACGCAAATTCTAAACCACTATTTTTGAGGGAAATGTATCAATGGTGCTTCTCATAGTAAATTAATGGTCACATTCAGAGCCGGATCAGAAGTAGAATTGCCCAAGCTTGGAAAGTCCTGCGTTTGAACGGTGAAAGCTGGTGCAACGCTGTAGCGAACCGTTTGAGTTCTACGCTGTGCTGAGGGTACCACAATAAACTCTTCGGTTGGCCTGAAAAAAGCTTAATCGCATTACTACTGCACAGGTGTAATATACAAATACTAGTGAGTAAACCACTGCATAAAGCATACCGTTTAACTTGTGGGGGTGGTTCTTGTTGGACTACGGCTATCTTGTCACGTCGTGCTAGTGGAGCGCTTGGAACAGGTGGCAGACCCTCACGTCGACTCCTAAAGAGGTACCAGGAACTTGAAAACACAGTGATTAAAACAAATGAGGACACAAGGTCGGAAAATAACCTCGAAGGCCCCGCTAGTTGACGATCATTAAACTGAAAGTCGATAGCTACAGGAGCACGACGACCACTGTGCTCCTTTGACTGAAAAGTCAACATGAAGCTCTTTCGTCAAAATTTAAGAACTAATTGGAGTGGTTGGTCATAAACATCGGCATTGATATTGGCGGTAATATATCAACCAATGAAAAAAAAGCGCCAAAACGGAACATTTTTTCATGAAATCATCAGGGGTGTTCGTCAGAAAAAAATCTAACAGAAAACAAAAACGCTTACGAGAGCAGCATTCTCGTGCGCTACATGTGGTGAACAGTTTGACCGTGGGGTACCCATGAGAAAAGGGCAAATCGATCCACGAGTATATCAAGTAGCCCAATAACCAGATCCTCTTTCAAGGAAGCAACTATGAGAGGGGTCAAACATGCATAAGGTTGTGGTGATTCAATGATTTGGGTCATGATATCATTAAAAATATCGCAAAATGAAGAGAAAAAAAAGCGGAATCGAAACTTGAAAGCTGTAACTATTTAAGAGCAGAATGATGTTCTCCTCCAATAAAAGTGAAAGCAATCACCTTGTGGAGATTGAGATCCATCTGATTAGAAAAGGCGATTCCCATTGCTCTGCACTCCTCGAACTCACATAAGAAGTGTTTTTCCTTATAATGTTGCAACAACTCCTTATGGTTGCTGTAAGAAACCGATGGTATGAATTTTGACGAATGTGAAATCCTATAAATAATACTCACCCAAAAAATACGTTAAGGTGTTTTCCCTCGGTTTCACAAAACTGGCAAAAGAAGTGTTCCTTTCGCAAATGCCGATATCTGAATTCCTCGTCGAAAAACCGTTGGTCGCAGAATAGACAGGAGGGGTGCCCTTAAAAACAAGGTTACAGAACACAGCTGCGCACGAAGACAATTTAATGAAATCAGTTTAAATGATTCTTTCAACCCCTTTCCATCCAACTTTAAATTATACCTTTCAGACTTTTGTCATCTCTATCTCCAGTACGGATGTGTCGCTGAAGATTATCCCGAGTATAAGTTTTTCGCTCTCTAAATATTCAAACAATTTCCATGGAAGAGAAAATTTAACAACGACAGAGCCAACCTTGAAAAAAGGATGATGTTCTCAGTGCAAATGTGGCAGTAAATCAACTCATGAGCATTCGACATATGATGCCGTAATGCAACAAATGTTGGAAACTCCAGTCGCCCGCCATCTTCGCTGAAAGGAAGAATTTCGTCAAAATGCCCACAAGCAATAAGAGATCTCGAAAAAATTGAAGGCTCCAACTCTCGCTCCAAATTACCTCTTACATAATTTGCAAACATGAGATAGGTATTTCTCGTAACGACTAAGAATATCGGCATTTTGAAATTGAATGGAAAATCTTTTTTCGTCAGGATGATTTAACGACGGGAAACTGAGGCACACCGTATCCAACCCAGCCGCCACAAACATCAACCATAACTGAAAAAGTCACAGAATGGTTACTCCAAAAAGACTATCGCAAAGGTATCGAAGCGTCCAAATAGTCCCTTCACCTACCGTTTCCATATTCGCTCTACATACAGGACATTGGCTACTCTTCGAAAGAACTCTCATTCGAATTGCGCATTCTATACAGATAGGGTGGCGGCACGTTCCCATTCCGAAGACGTCACTCATCTTACAACATATTGTGCACTCCTCAGCCGGCCCAGATCCTTGTGGGATATCAGCAAAATTGTCCTGAATAAGTATTAAAGAACTAAAATCAACATCGCCATAATTGTCGTTAAAGGCAAACCTTCGCAGATCCTAACATCAGTTCATACTTCTGCATGTTGACGTTGCGATACTGCAAGTTCTGACCCCGTTCTTCCCGAGAAAGCTGTGAATTACGCGGAGCCGATTCTATAAACCAGCATAATAGATTGTTTATAACGACCCTCCAGAAAATGGAATTTTTCCCTACGTATTTTGGACACAAATATTTTTGTATTATTCTAAGAGTCTTTAAATAAGCTGATCATTCAAGTATACCAACGGAAGCATTCTTATGCGTTCTAATGAGGAAACATTCGAGCAATAACTCTAACATCGTTGAGATGCAATGGCTATAAATGCCTTGGGCAACTGGTGTTTCCCCATTCCGGTTTCGCTGACAAAGTCGTGATCAAATAACTGACAAAGCTCCCATGGAAATGCCAAAGATCAATAAGTTTGTCCTAACGCGAATCTGCTGTTAATATAGATGTCAAAAGAGCAAGAACATAAAAAACAACTTAGCGAATCAATGAGAATTAGCAAATGATGACGTAGAGCGAAATAATGGGAGATAACAAAATTGGATAACAATTAGATAGCGTATCGCAGTTAAGCGATAATGCTCTGTTGGAAAACGCAAAAGGTATCGTATATGTGTGTGGAAAGTGACTAGGATTCCTAAGCGAAATCGCTGATGATGATGTAATTGGTTGCTAGAAATACCAACTGATCAGAATATGGAGGAGATTTGAGTACTCTTAGGCTGATACTACCACTCAGGATTCAAAAAAAAACCTAACGGCAGGACTCCATTACGATCGGAATTATCCTTGCACCCGCAAACTGCAAAATTTTGGGTGGCGTTTCATTTGTCCGGAAACTTGGCAAATTCAGTGGTCCAACCAACTTTTTAGAACTTTTCTACACTCTTTGACTTCATATGATGCTTCCTAAACAATGTTCCAGAGATAAATGACAATCTTTAGAATACGCAAAAAACGTACAACAATGCGAACAAACAAATGCTTCAGAAACTAGGAAGGTTTTTTTGCTGCATTAGCTTGAAGGTGTAAGCCGTGGTCGTTACGATCAAAACGAGACAAGGGTTCTGTGAGCGTTTGGGAAAAGTTCCCAGGGAAATAATCAAGGGAAAGAGTGTAACATTGAGAATCTTACAGGACTACCCTCGTAGACTGCCAGAAAATATATTAATTCCGATAGCCAAGTAAATGCCAAGGCTGGAATACAAAAGCCAGTTATTTTCAGTCATCTTTTCGAAAAATCGACCATCAAAATTCACCTCGAGTCGTCGTACCACTAGCGTTGTTAGGATTCCTCTTCGGTTGATTGATTCTATTCTTGAAATAAGGCTTCTTAGGGTTGGATCCATCGGGAACAGGCATTTTGCTCATTATGAGTGACCCCTGAGCCACGTTGCACTGAAACAGTTGGATTATTTCCACTAAAACGAACGAAACAATACAGGAACAAGATAAGAGACATGAGTGGAAGAGTCTGCTCGGCCCAAATCAACAAACTGCCCCCATAGCGAACAATGATTGACACAAATCGTATTACACAACACTGCAGTTTTTTGCATACCGCAATTAGAATGTGGGACAACTAGAACTTTCGGTGTGACGGTCTCAGCTGTTTGGGGCGTGGCTTGCAGCTTTCTGGGATCTCTCAGCTGGCGCTTTCTAGTGTGGGGAAGCATTTTGGTGCAATGGGTCATCCTTATTGGTGAAATACAAGCTCCCACTTGCACACTCTTCGTTAGGGTTCCTTGCCCCTTACTCCTACCTCGTACTGGTGGATTCCACGCAATTCAATTGGATCCTCGTGCCTTGCAAATGGGCGGATGGGCGGCCTCACGAGATCCCACTTGGACAGAGCCAAATTCATATGATTCCAAATTGCAAGCATCGCAGGGATTGCCCCGAGCAGCAATACGAAACCCCAACCTACGACTATCTCCTCAGCTTCCCACCTCTCATCTTCCACACCGAGCAACCGTGTACTCTACCGTCTGCTGCCTTACCCTGCATCAGAGACGCAGAGAAAGAAAAGTTCTAGTTGTCTTCGAAGGCTGAGGCGAGCTTGAATTTCGTAGTGGAGCGCGCTTACCGATCCTTTGCAGTCCTTTAATGAGTCGGGGTTGTTTCATCTTACGATCGAGCTCAAGTGGGTATGATTCATTGTGTAGAGGTTGAAGTGCGTCAGCAAACAGCTCTCTTATATCCCATACCACGCATCAATTGTTTCTCATTCTCCATGCGTTTCATGGCAAGCACAGCTACGTACTCAACGTTGTTTCTATTACTGTTATAGTTTTTATTTGCAACGATCGATTTCTATTTCTTACATGATTACAGATTGTTAGATTGTTAGGTTTGAGATTGTTTACAATAAGTCTAGCGATATTAAGAGAATTTATTCCTCGAACTCATGCCACGGAATTTAATTTTCCAGAAAGGAAATTTTCTGAACACGATTTTGCAAAGATGGAGTGAATCCTTTTTTTT